AAAGGGTACACTTTTACATTTTATATCCATATAACCTCTATTATATCTTGATATAACTGACCACAGTAATTCATTTTCCTTTGTGATGGCTTCAAGGTTACACATGAAGTGCATAGGAGAACTTCTAAGATGCCAGTAACTTGGGGTTCGTTTGGGTCAAAGATCCCCAACTCATAGCCCGAACCTGGCCCTCAGAAGTGATTTGTTTTGCCAACATAATGTCAAAAAATGTTTTGAAATTAGTTTCCAACTAATTTTAAATTAGAGGAATTTCACCTTAAAAGTCATGTTTCTAGCTCCTCTAGAAAAAAAAACAAAAACAAGGAAGAAGATCTGGCAATAGGCACCATTGGAGCTGCACGTGGGAACAGGGCTTCTGGCAGCCCGTACAGCACCTGTGTTCATATTAGCAGGTGTTCTTTCCTCAAAATCCCTACAGCCATCTTCCAGGAAACTTGTCATTGATAAACATCTACGTCTATGATGTGAACGATCCCGCCTCTGAAGTAGTGCCCCTGTGCAGTGCACAACCTACACAACCGTTCTCAGTGACCCTGATAGAGCAATCTGCAGGAACTGAGTCGTGGCTACCCCCTTTACAAAGGCATGAGCTCCCAAGTTTCCACAGTCCTCACTATTCCCCTTAGCCTTGTGCCTGTCCTGTCTCACTCACTGACATTGCCTGACCCTTGAAGGCATTTAAGCTTGGACCCCTGGCCTCTCATTTTACAGTAACCTGTGGAGGGGTGAAGGGATTCCCCCAAGACCCCCCAGGGAGTTAGTAGCAAGTGAAAACCAGGCCTGGAGTCTCTTGTCTTTCCAGAGCAGGACTCTTCCTGCCAGGCCTCAGGAGATGGCCTTAGGCTGTTGGATTGTCTCTGGTTTAGGTGTTTGTGGGAGGGGTGGGTCAGTGATGCTCAGGCTACATTGTGGTCTAGGAAGAGGGACTGAACCACATGCAAGCAAGCTGGAACTGCAATTGCCGCTGCAGCTGCAGAGAACTAATTTCTACATTGATATTTGACTAAACTAACAGCTCGAAAACACCACTCAACTAATTTTTAAAAATACTATCATATTAGATAACATTACATATTTATATACTTCACGCAGTCCCAGCATCCTCAAATATGGCTCTAATTTTGGTAGATGTCTTGCAAGACAGAGCGTATTTCCAAGTCCTCTAGCTACAGGGCTCTGCTCTCCCACTTGTTCCTGTCCACGTGCAATCAGATGTATTACCGAGTAAAGTTGAAATATAAATGCCACTTGGCATCCTGCTTTTTTCATTTCACTCAGAGGTATAATTAGGNTGGGAGAGCATGTTTGCAGTGATCCCGTAGAGAAGAAAATGATCAGAGAAGGAGGGAGAAAATTAGAGAGCAAAGACCTTTGAGAGAAGAGAGGTGAAGGAATGTAGGACACATGGAACATCTTGGAAGCAGGGAATACGTTTGTTCTGTTTCTCTCCAGACCGTTGAACTGGGGTCAGTGAGCGCAAGTCCCAAAGAGGTAGATCTTGGGTCAGTATGAGGGCTTTTCTGAGTAGAACTCTTGCGTTCTCTGGCTGCCCCACAGGGCAGTGAATTCTTTGTCACCAGAGGTATTAGGGTCCCCTGGAGCAGGAAACACTAGTATCAAATAAGGAAGAGGGAAGTTAGCCTGGTTCAAGTCCCCTTTCGTCTCTGGGCTGTCCGACCGCTGGGTCTGTGCGTCCAGGACTAGATGGGAGGGATGTAGGCCCAGCCCCGGCTTCCCCTGGCCTGCCTGCCTGCCTGCCTGCCACAGGCCCTTTCCTACCTTTCTGCAGATGCTGGCGCACCTGTTTACTTCTACGAGTTTCAGCACCGGCCCCGGTGCTTCAATGACACGAAGCCAGCTTTCGTCAAAGCCGATCACTCGGATGAAGTTCGCTTTGTCTTTGGTGGTGCCTTCCTCAAGGGCGACATTGTCATGTTCGGTAAGGGACTGGCCTCGGGCCGCTGCTCTTGCAGGAACATAAGCTTGGGGATGAGCTGGGCAGAGGACACGACTCCCCACCCTTAGCACGAAGCCCCTCACCAGCCCCAACACTATGCAAGAGCTCGGAGGAGTCATTTTAATTTACTTATTTAATCTATGGTTTAAAGATACAACCTTCCCCTGGAAAATGCTCCCTACTCGTATTTTTTAGAAACCAGGATGAAAAAGGGCTGCCAAGATTTGCCTGATGAGTGTTTCTCTTTGTACTGAGGCCTATAGAGGTGGGCATTTGGGGAGTATAATTTTTAAAAACTATTAGAACCACTTTCTTCCATCTCTCTGACTGCTGGTCTTACCCTCCCTGCCCTTTTCAGAACTCCCATGGGGCTACCACCCAGGGCTTTAACAGGCAAGGACCTGGTTTTTCATAATTCCAGCTCAAAGGGGTCTGGGTCCAGGAGATCTAATGTAAACGCTTATGAACTGTTACTGGTGAGGTTAGCTCACGTATTCCTGAAATTATGACCTGTCCAATGCCTGAAAGAACAAGCCAATCAGATGAGGTGATCAATAGAGAAAGCTATAGGAACTATACACAGGTGATATCACTAAAACATTTAGTTTAAAAAATAGCACAATACAAGCTTTTAACCAGTTCATGCTGGCTTCTCAAAGATAAGAACAGAGTCTGCCAAACAGTGTCTTTTTGTGCACAGTGGTTTATTCATTGTTTCATTATTTATTCTCATCTTACAATACAGATAATAACAACTATCTCATAGGTTGTCATAAGGACTAAATGAAAGAATTGTCATAAGCACATAGTGAGTGCTTACTAAATGTTACTACTATTATTACTCAGCAACCATTACTGAGTCTGCAGTATTTGATGAGCACATGGACCCTCCAAACTGGAAAAAATGAACGACATATGCCTTGATATCTAAAGAGCTCCTAATATCAATGAGGAAAGGAACAACCCAGTAAAAAACCGGGTAACAGATATAGACAGTTTATGGGAAAGGAAACACGAATGGCTTTTAAACATGAAAATCTACTCAACCTCACTCACAGCAAGAGGACTGCAAACTTCCCTTGACTGAGGAATCGTTTTTCATTGGTCAGGGTTGGGAAGAACATGTGCTTGACATAACTCTTCAAGCAGGTGTAGGGAAACAGACAACCTCATAAAGTAATGGAAAACCATGAAAATTTGAAATGCATACGGTCTTTAACTTAGCAATTCAGCTTCTAGGATTTTTGGTGCAATTATGCTTTCCATATGTGCAAAAATATACATGCATACTAAAGCATTGTTTTTACCAGCAAACGCCTGGAAATAATGTAAAGATCCATTAATAGAGCAGTGGATACCCGAATTATATATTTATATATAATTGCATCTATACATATTTATAGAACAATAAATGAAAGCTCTATAGGCAACATTGTGGCACTACCTCCTAGATAGCATTTTAGCAAAATGAAAGGTGCAGAACTCGTGTCTGTTATTCTACGTGCGTAAAAACATGTCCGCTTAAACTCTTGTCTGTGTCTAGCTGGCCTTCAGAGGGCGCTCAGGAAGCTGGTAGCCAGGATGCCTCTGAG